ATAAGTTCAGGTGCTATTACATTTACAAATCTGGGGATATAAATATAAATCACGTAGACATCCTTTTGGATGATCATTAATGATTTTCTCTGTTTTGGCAGAACTAATCTGGTGATTCCCAAATTGGTATGCCTCATTCCAAGAGGAATTTTCTATATAAAATAAAATAACTTTTATTTGTATCATTTCTATGTCTTTTGTAAAGCTGAGGACAACTTATTAATAGTTACATTGTAAGAATAGACATGACCATAAATACTGGCAAAATCATTATTTTTAAATTGTTTCCATTTTTAAGTTTTGTAGTAATAAAAGCGATCACATTACTAGCCATGTATTATTATCCTTGTAAAAGTTGTAAGAAACTAATAATGGGTAATTTTACATTTGCTAGCTAATGGTATGGTACAAACAAACATTTATCAAAATCAAAATGAGGTCCATGTGCATATCAACTATTGATCATAAGTATCATTAGAAATTATAGAGTCCCAAATGAACTCTTGAGGGTAAAGCTCTTAAAATAAAAAATAACTTTGTAATTGCATAGCTATTACAAACTCATTTGATATTCATTTTACTTGAAATGACTATAGTGAACATACTTTGTATTCGAACAGATGTCACAAGTACTACTACAGAAGTTCTAATATAATTCAGTCTTAGTTAAGAATGAGTAAATGAATATTTAAAATTGAATGTTACTATGAAGGAAAACAAAAAATCCCATTACAGTAAACATTAGCTCCTTAAAAAAAACAAATTAAAGATTTTTATTAAATTGTGTTCTTCCTTGTTTTGGCATATACAAAACATAATAATATAGGGAACTTGGTGTTTCAACCTCTCTTTTTCCTTATATCAGCTATTCTGTATTAGTAGGTCTGGAAGATGAAAATTGGGAATGTAAATAATGACTCAGAAAGGTAAGCTGAAATTCACTTTACAATATTTAGACTGGTATATCAAAAGGATTTAAAAATGTTATTATGCCAATTTATTTTAGCTGAAGGAGGTAATTATGTATGCCATTTTATTTCAATGGGTCAGACAAGCCCTAATATTCCCTTTAATCTTCTCCCACATGATGGACTAACATCTTAAATTCCAACATGAGAAACCTTCATGCCATAAATTAAAGACAGTGTTTCCCAATGTGTGGTTCACAGAATTACCCAAGGATGTTTGGTAAAAGCAAATATTCTGGGGCCCCAACCAAGCTCTATCAAAGCCTGGGAGTAAGGCCATTCAATCCACATTTTGGCAAGCAACGTACACATTTTGACACACACTGCTGCTTAAAACAACTGCCCCAAGGTTGGATGAGGCAACATTTAAAGCTATATATTATTCATTTCATTTGAATCAGCAAACATTTGTTAAGTACAAATCCTATGTGAATCAAAGATGTGATATATATATATATAGGATATCCAAATAGGCAAGAAGCTTATGAGAAACTAATCTTTAAAGAACAATTTATTAGGTGCAATGATAATCTACAAATGACTGGAAACCCAGTATGTGGATGTCTAGAAATACAAAGAAAATAGTATATTTACTGTTCAGATTAAAAATTTACTCTTGGTTTCAATATAGCAATTTTTCTCCTGAAAGGGGTATCTGGAGGTTAAAGAAAAATATGTTTGTCTCATTATTAGAAAATGCAACTAACATAGTGCTTAATAACAAGTTTATCCCATTTTTCCTGATGTCTTGCACATCTTGTTTTGTAAAGGAGAGTGGTAAGCGTGCGAGGCTTCATGGTGGCTGAGGGGAAGAGACAAGGAATGTCGATGAGGGGGGAAGAAGCTGAACTGAAAGATCAGGAGCACTAAAGGTAAACTATTTCCCCTCCTCCAGTCTAGTTCTCCTGATACCTCAGCTGTAAGTTGAACATATTTGGAAGCCATATTGTGTTTTTAATTACCAGAGCAAAATTCAAAAAGTGAAAGCTGACTTTGGAGTTTAATAAAAGAAAGAAAACAAAGAACATAAAGCTGAGAGTACCAAGGTTCTTCTGCTGACTAGGAATTTGCCCCCGCCTCCACCCCCACCCCAGGACTGAAGACTAATTAACAGGAATCTGTGAAAAGAGCTTCAGTAAGGAGCATCTGGTCATGAAACAGTGAAGACAAGCTGATGAGATTCATTAATGGCTCTTACTGTCCTTGGTCTTCTACATATAGTCTTTATTTGACTTTTCCTAATGCTGGAAACAGAATCCAGTTAAAACACACATACACACACAGCTATGAGAAGTGAAAGTGAACAGAAATAAAGAGTTGTGCTGGTTCTCAGCATGGTCTCTACACCGGCAATATTAGCATCACTGGGGACCCCACTGTATTCGTCTCCTCAGGCTTCCATAACAAAATACCATAGATTGGGTGGCTTCAGTGACAAATTTACTTTCTCACAGTTCTGGAGGCTGGGAAGTCCCAGATCAAGGTGCTGGCTGATTCTGTTTCTGATCGGGGCTGTCTGCCTGGTTTACTGGTGGCTGCCTTTTTGCTATGTCCTCACATGACTGAGTGAAAGACTTCTTTCTGTTTTTTCTCCTGAGGCCACCAATCCTATTGGATTAGGACCCCACCATTATGACCTCATTTAATCTTAATTACTTCCTAGAAGCTGAATCTCCAAATACAGTCACTTTGGGGATTAGGGCTTTAACAGGAATTTTGGGAGAACATAATTCATTCAGTTCATAGCACTCATTATAAATACAAATTCTCAAGTACCACCCAAGACCTACTGAATCAGAAACTTAGGGAATGGGGCCCAGCAAATCAGGTTTTATTGACTCACCAGTTATTGTAATGGCCATTAAAGCCTGAGAAGTACTGGCCCTCAGGATAAAGTCCCAACTCCACAGCACAGCATTTACTTTCCTTCCCAGCCTACTCCCACCCTTCCTTTCCAACCTTGTTTCTTAGAGGATACTCTTTCTAAAATTCTAGCACAAGGCTTTGCACATAGAAAGCACTCAGATTTTCACAATGTTGCATACTATTGTTGTAGGAGTTATTAAGAAATTATTTTAGGTAGATAGAGAGAAAAAGGTGTCCTCTCTATCAAAAACTTTGAGGAAAGTTTTTGTTTCCTTTAAAGCAGCTCCAGAAACGTTTCTTGTCTAGCAGGAAAAGTGCAGGGTCTTAGAGCCAGGCCGGCAAGCTTTGATATGCAAATACAAGCCATTAGAAACTGTGTCCACCGAAACAGGGCAATTTCTTCCCTCCTCTTGCCCTTGCTGTCACTTGTGCCTGGCAACATGGCCACCCCCACACAGCTCCACATGTGTAGAGCATCATGGCACCCTTCATTTGCATATGAAAGGCCAGGGTGGGAAGGCCAGTTTTTTGGCAGGCTATGTGGTGAATAACATGCCTGGTCACACCAATCCCCTGAGCTCTGTGCAAATCAGGTACTACCTCCTCCATCCTCCTCATATAAGCAGCCACTTTTCCAACACACACACGGTTTTCTCTCATTGGCATCCCCCCCTCTGTCTTTGTATGGGGGAGCTGTTTTCATCTTCCTTCCTTCTTTATTGCCTATTAAATTCTCCTCTCCTTAAAACCACTCCTCCATGTGTCTGTGTTGTTTTATCTAATTCGGCGCGAGATTAAGAACCCTAGTGTTCCTCCCGTCATTGGAGCTGTATTACTATTTGCTTATAACTCTTCTCTGTAAACTACTACAACACTGCTTTCAATTCATTGCTGTTTTGGGGCATCCAATAGCCCATTGGTCTCTGACATAGCACAAAGTTGCTTAACATGAATTAAAAAACATCAATACACCACTTACTACTTTATCATGTCCTTAAGTGTATCAAGCCTTGTAAGTGCTTAGTATATTACCTCATCTAATTCTCACCAACACCCTGAAGTAGGCATTATGATTTCTGTTTGACAGAAAAAGACACTGGAAACTGAGGCTTCAAAAGATCCAAAGATCCATTGTACAATGTGGTGACTACAGTTAACAGCAATGTATTTATTATATCTTGAAAATTGCCAAGTGTGGATTTTAAGGGCTTTACAAAAAGTAATGAACATATGTGGCAAGATATGTTAGATTTAGCCATTCCACACTATATATATATATATATATATGTTTCAAAACATGTTGTACACGATAGACATAGACAATTTTATTTGTCAATTAAGATAAAATGTTAAAAAGAGGTCAATTAACTCCCCCAAAGTCACATACTTGGGAAGTCGTAAGGTTGGAAATTATGAACTCATGTTTCTTTGACTAGAAGCACATGTTTATTTCCACTGTGTTTTGCTACAGACACAGAGATGCAGTTTTCTGACAACATCTCCAATTTACTGCCAAGTTTCCCAGAGCATATGAGACTTGTTGCAGTAAAGTTATTTCCAGTCTATCATTTGGAACCTCTCTATTCTCTACGTACCTGACACAGTCTTTCATACACATGTATGTGTGTTTGCATGTGTACACTCACACACACTAGCACATTGCCAGAAGTTGGCCATCATGAAAAATAAATCTGGCTCGAGTTCTTAGAGTCAAACAGATACCATGAAGTGACTACTGGAAAGAAGGAGCTCTAAATTCTATTGCTATTCTACAATCTATTTGGCTGTAGACAACTTTTAGAATGCTTTCATCTTTACCATAAAGACACCTGAAGCTCTCGAAGGGAGTTGCTTGAATGTTCACACGGAGCTCTGATAAACTTTGTCCCACAGCCACTACTGATAATTTAGCACTAGAAACATATACGCATATAAAAATTTAAAATCTACAAGTTTAAAACAATGGACTACTTTTTCTTCAAAATCATTCTTCCTTAGTTTCATTCCTCAGAAAACAAGCCAAATGATTCTATTTTAGTTATTTACAATTTCCTTACCAGTGAAGACTGGACCATAAGATAATGAACCACACCTGTTGGATTGTTTAGGTAATTCCAAGCACCAGCTGCGATAGTAATTAAAAGTAACATTCCATTCTCAGCCTACCTGGGGTGTTCAACAACCTTGACATCTTGCAGAAATAGGAGACATACTGCTCGCAGTACTCGGCGCTGTCAGTGATGGCACTTATCTGGTCCATGGAGGCACTGTAAACGAGCTGTGTCACTGAGTATTTTTCTGGGTTGTAGCCGACCACAGTCGTCTGCATCTGCAAGTCATGAGACACTATGGTCCACACTTTGTCCTCTGTGGGGAGAAAAACAAACAGGACCCTGGATCATTAGTATGCAAATACTTCTCCAAATGTCAGAAAATAATTGAGCTCCACTTAACTGGTCTTTTCACTGAGCTGGTATAGAACAGAGTTAAGGAGAGCTATCCTTAAAGCAACCCCTGCTCTTTTCTCATCCCTAAGTTCTTATGAAGACAAAATAGGAAAGTAATATTCTTATTGAAAACAAACACAAGATAGCTCCTGAAAGCAAAACAAAACAAAAATAGCTTTTGTATCTGGTTGGTGCTCTAGCACCTGCAGCATTGCAGATCAGGCTCATTATGTTCCAACTTTTTCCTGACTTTGTCATCCATCATTCCTCTGGTGGAACAGGATTTTCTCTTTCCTAGATGAACTATGCTCCCTCTCAAGCCTCTGGGTCTTCCTACATGGTGTTTTCTCTAATCAGATTATGTATCCTCATCTTGTCAACAAACGTTCTTTTCACCCTGACCTTTTAGGCAAAATTAGACATTGCATTCTCTGCTGTTGAAATGTTCTGTACATGTGGGATAAAGCGAGTGAGTAATTATCTTGGTGATTTTGACCCTGAAAATTTCAGTGCAAGAAAAGAAGCAGATATAAAATAGATAAGGTTAAATAAAAGCCCTATATACTTTTAAATTTTCCTCAGAAGCATTACTAAGAACCTAAGATAATGTTATCTAATTTTAAATGTGGCACGTCTTGCCTCTGTGCCCTGAAAACGCTCTTAAACAAAGACTAACCTCATACGGCAGACTGTCATCATTAGATACTATTTCCTCTAAGATAAAACTAGGATCCCTGGAGAAATGATGGCTTCCATGGTTGGAAATGTGCAAGATGAAAGATGAGCCAGGAACATATCCCAGTAGAACAAAAGAAGCAATTAGAGACTGAGGGCAGTTCAAAAACACCCAGGTCCAAAAAAGGGCCAACTTTAACATCAACAAGAATATTCTGCAATGGATTAAGGCATATTAAATATGGTTAAATCCTTAAGTATATTAAAGTTGTTTAAAAAAGGTTTAAATGTGGAAGATGCTAGGTAAGATCTCTGCCTTTTATCCAGTTCCAAAGTTCTTCCACATTTTTGGGTATCTTTACAGCAGCACCCCACTACCCCATACCAATTTATTGTATTAGTCCGTTCTCATGCTGCTATGAAGAAATACCCGAGACTGGATAATTTATAAATTAAAGAGTTTTAATTGACTCACAGTTTCACATGGCTGAGGAGTCCTTAGGAAACTTACAATCATGATGGACAGCACCTCTTTACAGGGCAGCAATAGAGAAAACAAGAGCAAAGCAAAGGTGGAAAAGCCCCTTATAAAACCATCAGATCTCATGAGACTAACTTACTATCACAAGAACAGGTTTAGGAAAACCACCCTCAGTATCCAATTATCTCCACCTGGTCCCTCCCATGACACGGGGTGGGGGTTATGGGAAGTACAATTCAAGATGAGATTTGGATGGGGACACAGCCAAACCATATCAGGTGGTATCTAATTGTGGTTTTGATTTACATTTCCCTGATAATTAGTGACACTGAGCATTTTTTCATATGTTTGTTGGCCATTTGTATATCTTTTTGTAATTATTATTATACTTTAAGCAACCCAAATGCACATCAATGATAGACTGGATAAAGAAAATGTGGCACATATACTCCATAGAATACTATGCAGCCATTAAAAAGGATGAGTTTTCCTGTTCTTTACAGGGACATGGATGAAGCTGGAAACCATCATTCTCAGCAAACTGACACAAGAGCAGAAAACCAAACACTGCATGTTCTCACTCCTAAGTGGGTGTTAAACAATGACAGCACATGGATGGGAACATCACACACTGGGGCCTATTGGGAGATGGGGGGATAGCATTAGGAGAAATACCTAACATAGGTGATGGGGGGGATGGAGGCAGCAAGCCACCATGGCATTTGTATATCTTTTTTTGAGAATTCTCTACTCATGCCCTTTCCTCACTTTTTGATGGGATTTTTTTTCTTGCTGATTTGCTTGAATTTCTCGTAGATTCTGGAGGATTAGTCCTTTGTCAGATACATAGTTTGCAAAGATTCTCTCCCACGGTGGGCTGTCTGTTTACTCTGCTGATTATTTCTTTTGCTGTGCAGAAGCTTACAGTTTAATTAGGTCCCATCTATTTATCTTTGTTTTTGGTGCATTTGCTTTTGGATTCTTTGTCACGAACTTTTTGCCTAAGCCAATGTTGAGAAGAACTTTTCTGATGTTATCTTCTAGAATGTTTATGGTTTCAGGACTTAGAGTTAAGTCTTTGATCAATCTTGGGTTGATTTTTTAGAGAAGTTAAGCAATGAGGATCCAGCTTCATTCTTTTACACGTGGCTTGCCAATTATCTCAGCACCGTTTGTTGAATAGGGTATCCTTTTTCTACTTAATGTTTTTGTTTGCTTTGTCAAAAATCAGTTGGCTTTAAATATTTGGCTTTATTTCTGGATTCTCTATTCTGTTCCATTGGTCTATATGACTGTTTTTATAACAGTATCATCCTGTTTTGGTCACTAAAGCCTTGTAGTATAATTTGAATTCAGGTAATGTGATGCCTCCAGATTTGTTCTTTTAGTTTAGACTTGCTTTGGTTACGCAGGCTTGTTTTTGATTTCATGTGAACTTTAGGATTGTTTTTTATAGTTCTATGAAGAATCATCATTGTACTTTGATGGAAATTGCAATTTGTAGATTGATTTTGACAGTATGGTCATTTTTACAATATTGATTCTACCCATCCATGAGCATTGGGATGTGTTTCCATTTGTTTCTGTCATTAATGATTTCTTTCAGCAGTGTTTTGTAGTTTACTTTGTAGAGATCTTTCATCTCCTTGGTTAGGTATAGTCCTAAGTATTTTATTATTATTATTATTATTATTATTATTATTATTATTTGCAGCTGTTGTAAAAGGGATTGAGTTATTGATTTCTCAGCTTCGTTATTGTTGGTGTATAGCACTGCTACTAATTTATGTACATTGGTTTTGTATCGCGAAACTTTACTAAATTAATTTATCATATCTAGGAGCTTTTTGGATGAATCTTTAGGTTTTCTAGGTATATGATCATGTCATCCGTGAACAGCGAAATTTTAATTTCCTCTTTACAAATTTTGATGCCCTTTATTTCTTTCTCTTGTCTGCTTTCTCTGGCTAGGACATCCAGTACTATGTTAAATACAAGTGGTGAGAGTGGGCATCCTTTTCTTATTACAGTTCTCAGGGGGAATGCTTTTAAGTTTTTCCCACTCAGTATAATGTTGGCTGTGGGTTTGTCATAGATGGCTTTTATTACCTTAAGGTATGTCCCTTCTATGCCAATTTTCCTGAAGGTTTTAATCAGAAAAGGATGCTGGTTTTTGTCAAATGCTTTTTCTGAGCTATTGAGATACTCACATGATTTTTGTTATTAATTCTGTTTATGTGATGCATCGTATTTATTAAGTTGTGTATGTTAAATCATTCCTGCATCCCTGGTAGAAAACCCACTGGATAAGAGTATATTATCTTTTTGATATACTGTGGATATTTGGTTAGCTATTAATTTGTTGAGGACTTTTGCGCCTATGTTCATCTGCAATATTGGTCTGTAGTTCTCCTTTTCTGTTATGTCCTTTCCTGAGTTTGGTATTAGGGTGATACTACATTCATAGAATGATTAAGGAGAATTCTCTCCTTCTCTATCTTTTGGAATAGTTTCAGTAAGACTGGTACCAATTCTTCTTTGAATGTCTGATAGGATATAGCTGTGAATCCATCTGGTTCTGGACTTTTTTGTTGGCAATTTTTATTACTGCTTCTTCAATTTCACTCCTTGTTTTTGTTCTGCTTAAAATCTTTATTTCTTCCTGATTTAATCTAAGAGGGTTGTATATTTTCAGGAATTTATCCATCTACACTAGATTTTTAGTTTGTAAAGGTGTTCATAGTAGCCTTGAATGATCTTTTATACTTCTGTGGTATTCATTACAATATCTTCTGTTTCATTTCTAATTGAGCTTATTTGGATCTTCTCTCTTTTTTTCTTCGTTAATCTTGCTAATGGTCTATCAATTCTGTTTATCTTTTCAAAGAAGCAGATTTTTTCATTTATCCTTTGTATATTTTGTTTGCATTTCATTTGGTTCTGCTCTGTTCTTTGTTATTTCTTTTCTTCTGCTGGGTTTGCATTTGGTTTGTACTTGTTTCTCTAGTTTCTTGAGGTGTGACCTTAGATTTTTTTATTTGTGCTCTTTCAGACTTTTTCATGTAGGCATTTAATGCTATGAACTTTCCTCTTAGCACCACTTTTGCTGCATCCCAGAATTTTTGATAAGTTGTATCACTATTATCATTCAGTTCAGTTTTTAAATTTCATCTTGATTTCATTGTTGACCCAATGATCATTCAGGAACAGGAACGGGCGATTTAATTTCCAGGTATTTGTACAGTTTTGAGAGTTCCTTTTGGAGTTAATTTCCAGTTTTATTCCACTGTGGCCTGAGAGAATACCTGATATATTTTTGATTTTCTTAAATTTATCAAGACTTGTTTTGTAACTTATCATATATGGTCTATCTTGGAGAACATTCTATGTGTTGAAGAAGAGAATGTATATTCTGCAGTTGTTGGGTAGAATGTTCTGGAATTATCTGTTAAGTACATTTGTTCTAGAGTTTATGTCTATTATTATTATTATTGAGACAGAGTTTCGCTCTTCTTGGCCAGGCTGGAGTGCAGTGGCACAATCTTGAATCATTGTAACCTCTGCCTTCAGGGTTCAAGTGATTCTCCTGCCTTAGCCTCCCAAGTAGCTGGGAATACCCAACTGCGCACCTGGTTAATTTTTTGTATTTTTAGTAGAGATGAGGTTTCACTATGCTGGCCAGGCTGGTCTTGAACTTCTGGCCTCAGAAGATCCACCTGCCTCAGCCTCCCAATTGCTGGGATTATAGGAGTGAGCCACAGTAC